AAACCATAGTTAATAGAGGAGAGGGTTTGGAAGCTGGGGGCGTGGCGAAATTATGTTATTGTTCTCTGTCACGTGACAATACGGTGCATCAAAATCTATTTGTAATAGGAGATTGTATTACAGAGGAGGCTGTAGTGCTTGAAAAACGTCTTTTACAGAAAGGATATCCAAATATCAGTTGCAAATTGCTCCATACATGGTTGCGGACTAGTAGGAAACACTTTGGTCTCAGTATTTTTTGAAATCCAACAAAAGACGACGATTTATCGACGAAAATTCGCGAAGCGTTGGCGAGGCTTGTCACAAAGGACGCTGGATCGAGAGATAGAGAGAAAGAAACTTTATTCAAACAAATACCAATATTGGTACATTGAATACCTACATATACATTAGTTACAAAAAATAAAATATAAAAAAGACATTACAGTATATAAACTTACAAATAATTTATTCAGGCTAACTCATTCAATATGTCAAAAGTTCTTAGTATATCGTAGCAATATTTTGAAGATACTTTCAGAATATTTCTATCTTTCATACTTAGTATATAATGGAACAAACTTTGTGTATCAAAATATATAAATGATTGGTTAATTTATATACAGAATTAATAAAATTCTGTCGCAAAAATGTAAACACTGTGTTACCACATGACATTAGGTAATGTTGTTCATTTCCAACTTCACCCTGATCACAAAGCTTACATTTTCTGTCACAGTAGGCAATTTTTTTATATCGGCCAATTTCTACTGGTAATCTGTGCGCTGAAACTCGTAATCTTGTAACTGCTTGACGGTACTTAAAATTTTTAATTTCTAAAAGGTATTTTTCAATACCCACATTTACTTTAAGTTTCTTATATTCTTTCAATTTACCACTATCACCATTTTGAAGAACCTGGTCTTTCCAAAATGAGGTAAATTCGTTATTTAATGTAACATTTAAATAATGGCAAAAATTTCGTCTTGTTTTGGTTGACTCATCACTGGAGTTTGAAAATTTTTCGAAGTCCTTCATCTCTAATTTACACATTCTTAGCAAAAATTGTATGAAAACTATTGGTTTTAGATTCAAACGCATGCAAACGTTTCTAGCTTCACCAGATAACGTATTATTAAAATATGTACTGCTAATACGAATCCAGTATTTAACTACAAGAGTAGAAATTTGAACAATCAAAGGAACCTTTCCTAATTCGGCATAAATAGTCAAATTTGTTGTTTTTGAGTGCACGCCAAGAATTCGTTTGCAGAATTTCAAATGAATTCTTTCAATTTCATTGATAATTTTGAAGAATTTACTCTTAAAGATCTCAAAGGTAGTTACTCTACCTATCAAATAAGGTCCCCAAATTTCACATCCGTATAACAAAATGGGGATTATCATCGCTGAAAATAGTTTTAAAAGTATTTTTATTGGTACGTTTTCAAAATTAGAAAATTTTTTTAAAAGGTTATTGTATGCTCTTAGAGCTTTATCACGTAAGACTTTTAGGGCTTTCTTAAAATTCCCAGAAAAATGAATAGTAATTCCAAGATAGCAATATTCATCTACTTGTTCCAGGGCTTCATTTTCATAGTACCATTTTGTCAGCAAATATGAGCGTCTCTGATTTGCTGTGCCAAATACTAAAATTTTAGATTTCTTTTTGTTAATATTAAGTTTCCATTTTTTTGCATATATTTCGAGTTTTGATAAACACTTTTGCAATCCTGCTTTCGACTCGGACAACAAAATCAAATCGTCTGCATAAAGTAAACAACTCAAGTCCGTATTATCAAGTCTAACAGGGTCACACGATTGATTAAACAAATTTGGTATATCATTTATAAATATATTAAATAGAGTAGGACTAAGATTGCACCCTTGTTTTAAACCAATATAAGATTGAAAAGGGGGAGTTACTCCATCTTTCAATTTAACCGAGTAATTTACGGAGGAATACATATTTGATATAAATCGTAAAAATGTTTTGCTGCACCCGCATGAAATAAGCTTAAACAAAAGACCTTTTCTCCAAACACTATCGTACGCCTTTTTAAAGTCGATAAAACAAACGAAAATCGGTTTTCTATGAGATTTGTAAAAATCAATTAAGGTTTTTAAAACTAAAAGGTGATCAGCTGTTCGATGATGTTTTCGAAAACCAATTTGACACTTATTTATTACGTTATTTTCTTCCAGGAATTCATTTAAACGAGTATTCATTATTAAAGTGAAAAATTTCCCCAAGCAACTACTGATACATATTCCTCTATAATTACCAGGGTCAAACGTATTAGATGCAAGTTTAAGAAATCAAATCGCTCAACAAACACTTCACGTTTGTGAAAGACACTTTGAAAAGACCCAGCCGAAACATGTAAGTTATTTTCTCTCTCTGGTGAGGTATTGATATTTCGGTATGAACGCTTGAAAGTTACAACTTAGCAGAAGTACTGTATATATTTCATGTATCAAATTATCAAATTTGTATATATTAAATATTAATGATTTGCATAAAAGTGCGTTTCGGTCATTAGGTCATATTTATGTAACAGTTAACCCTTGTGTTCATAAAATGAAGGTATACATATTATTCAGGACACTGTCACTGAGGACAGTAGAAACATTTTCGTATACAGTAAACAAAGTATCATACAGTATTCAAAGGCTATTTTAATAGCAAGAAACTGGCATAATAAAGTAACAGGATTTTTGTTTGGCCATGTCATAGTATATGAAAGTCCCATTTACAGTTATTATAAATCTTGTTTGCTGTGAATTTTATTATAATTACTATTTTAACAATACTTGTATAAATTAAGTCAACTTACTGTATATATAATCAGATATTTTATGTTCTGCTTTAGTTCCCACCTGCAAAAGACTTGTAGCTGGTGCTATTCCTACCTTTAATTTACCCCAGAAAAGCATACCTCTCTACATCGACAATTGGAGCCAGGTAACATTGCTGGTCGTCACACTGGTCAGAGGAGTAAATGGTATCGTGGATTCAAAAAGGCCTTGCCGTAACATAAAACAGAAGTAATCTAGTGAGAACTTTTGTGGGGTTTTTGTACCCAGAGCTGTCATTAAGGGCCTGTAGCTTGCCTACTTCTGTCTGAACAAAGTTCATATAAACAAAACTGTGAAGCAATAAACAAACCTTTTACTTCCTCTAGTCAGAACATCAAAATTAAAACAAAAGATTAAATTATTTCAAACAGGTCAGGCTTTGATAGGATGTTTTGTAATCTTAATAACTCTGTAAAATACCTTCCAAAATGCAGGGAATGTGTAAAATACCTTCCCAAATGCAGGGAATGGCATTTCCAACCCAGACCCCTCTAGGAGTCTTGTGCCTTCAATGTTCAATAATTTTTCGGCCACCTACTTGTAAACTTAATGACAGCACTGCTTCAAAAGAGTAATATGCAATAATTTGTACATATGCTATAAAATAATTATTAAAACAGATTATAAATGAATAGGTGAACAATAAGACTAGAACAATATATTACCTTAGTTGAATAATTTGTAAAAATTTATACTAATATATACAGTAAATCACTATTACACAAAATTTTGTTTCACTTGAAATAAACAAGACATTGGTAGGCTCAACTTTGAGTTATCATGGTTTGAGAGACAACAACGGCTAGAATCAGAGCACACTGATGTACCGGTAGTGAATAAGTACACTATTCACATCTGAAATTGGCTGTCAACCAGGGGCATAGGAACCAGGGGGCCAAGGCCCCCCAAGTTCTCAGAAGATGCAAAAAGTGTCCTTTGAGTGTGGGGCAGTTAAACAATGAAATGACCAGCCTGCTTGGCATGCTTTGGGCTGGAGCACGACAAATGGCAAAATTTGAAACTTAACAGCCATACAGTTTACCAATATTCTCAAAACACAAGGACGTACTGGCATTCCTTTGATACTGCAATGCTATTACAGTAGATTGCTCAATAATGTCATTCCACAAACATTTTGCTAATGGAGGAGCTTGGACATTCTTAATAATTTTATCAACGTGTAAAGAAGTAGGTTTGCCTTAATTCTTGTGTGCTTTCTAAAGCACGATTCAGCAATTCTAGCAATATCATTAAGTCATGAATTTGGTACCCACAGGGCTGAAGGCCCCTCCCCAGCAACATAAGCTTAGTGGTCCAAACTCTTCTGATTTCACTGATAATTACTAGCAGAATACAAACATTAAAAAATATTTCTGGGTATATAATCCTTTGCACATAGGTAAAATCTTCTGGCACTGGAGAGGAATAAGAACTAAGTTTAATACCCTTAGGTCAATATTGTACTATACAGAGGAAATATCAAAATTTGATATTTCCTCTGTATGATATTTCCTTTGATATCTCCTTTGTCTAATATATTATAAGACTTGGTCTTGGAAACTGTGGGATGCATGGGCATGAAATATCATGGAATCTTGGAATAACATTCTATTTTGATGTGACAGAAATTATGATCAAAAGTAACAAATCACATGTTAGTAGACATTGAATCACTGTATATTGGTCAATGGCTGGACTTGTAATTGACAATTGGACACAAGCCTTAGGGATGGCCTTAGGGCCTACTATTTTAAGACATTCATATCTAGGTTACAGTATATTGTCTATATATATACAGTATTAAGATATTTACTGGTATTAAAGCATGCAGTTTCTTCAGTGTTTATAATAAGAATATCTGCTGGTAATAGCAAAGTCAACCGTTCGGGCATATTCACCAGCATCTGCAAAAGCACGACTTTATCTTCTCTGCATGGATGAAAATATTCTTTCCTTTTCCCTACCTCTCGAATGATCGACAATGCCTTTTCATATGCGTGATAAGTCATATATAACATGGGTTTTGATTTTCCCTTAATTGGCAGTACTAGCTGTAGAATTTGTCGAGTGCTTAATACTGCGTCGATATTCGCACGGGAATTGCTTTAATCCTTCAATCTAAACGACAAATATAAGTCAAATATTAAGTCTAAGGCACCTCACTACATATTGTTTAATTGGACACCATATAAAGGACTTACTTCTTCAACTGAACGCGATATTTCTTCAGTTAATTCATCCGCGTTGATTTGCAGCAGCTAAATAGTTTGATGAAAATCGCCTCCGTCGTTGTATCTGCGTCTCCAGCACCCAGAATTGGGTGAATTTTGCTTTCTGAATCGTATGCCGAACTTGTCGAAGCCATAACAAGAACAACAATGCCTCATTTTAAAATTTATAAGCACAATATCATATTTCTGTAATACTACGCTATAGTAATTTCTGAATTTGATGCACCCGAAATGTCACGTGACGTACCTTTCCAACATCTGAAATTAATTAGCTCGAAAGCCTTTGAAGTTTGCCGGCCTTCCAAACCCTGTCCTCTATTAACTATGAGCATAGTTAACTTTAACTACTTTTTAACTGCAGTTAAGGCTAACTATACACTTTTATACAACCGGCTTATTAACTACGTGATTAAAGTTAACTATTTTTTAAGGCTTTTTAACTACTTTTTAACTGCAGTTAGCGCTAACTACGTTTTTATACAACCGGCCCCAGACCATCATGTCTTGATAGACAAATGTATTCGTTATATAGTTTTTAGAAAACACCGCGTATACTGATTACTCAAGCTGTCGAAATCGTAACCCTGAATTTTTATCAGTGCCAATGATGTATATTATTGGCACTGATCCGAGCTTACGTATTGAAAGCTTTGCGATTTTAATATAGGTGGTGTGTTCCAGAAAAAATGTTGAAATTATCGTTATTCAAATTCAAAATTAATTACTTCTTTTCAGATTCCATGCTTACCAACTTCATATGCAATACACCCTTCCGGAAAGTGTTCGTTTTCGTGACTGAGACGTTGGGATACGAGCCCTTTATTTTGTTACTGGTGACACATTTATGAAACCCATACAGTTATATTAGTGAAAGATCGGTTTATTATTAGGTCATCAGTAACAGGAATTAAGGGTTCTAAAACCAATGCCTCAATCAACCTCGTACCCAGGCTCTTTCCACTATGCTCCTCGCTGGAGGAAAGACCCTGGTCCAGGCTGGTCACGTTTCTCCCCGATTTTGGGAGATAACAAAATTTTTGCATAAGGCTAAGTTTGCTTTACCGATCTAGTTGCCAATATCAATTCGATAAAGTTCAGAGTGTATGTATTTTAACAAATGCATGTCATTGTAATGAATAGCAAGAGCTTGTGTTTCAAAATATGCTCTGGTTTTCCATTGAGCACTTTGCCAAAAGTTTTTATAACCAACGAAATATATATATATATATATATATATATATATATATATATATATATATATATATATATATATATATATATATATATATATATATATATATATATATTTCAGTTCTATATTGGGCAAAACCGCAAAGAAGTACTAAGAAAGGATTTGTAATATACTCAAGGACAATACATACATACAAACAAACAAACAGAATACAAAACTTTCACCCAGCTAAAGCAAGGGCACGCTGACAATTTTATGTAAACATTGATCATATTTCACTGGGGAAACAATCGATTGAAAATAAATACGCTC